GAGTAATGACATCTGGACAGGCAAAGGGTCATTAGGAAGACTTGAGTAACTGAAGTCATGTTTATAAAGAACATGATTCTCAGTGGTTGCTTAGAAATGATTCTACTTATTTCTACAATGATGTTGTTTGCAGTTGTCAGTACCTGTTTACCTCCTTTGAGCCCTGGTGGCCAGCTCAGAGGCTCTCCTTTTGTCTGCATGCTGCACTGCCAGCTTTCTAGGAACAGATCTGGCCTCACCTCCCCCCCACACACACGGTGGTGGGCCCCACCCAGAGGGATCCAGGAAATTATTCCTGGATGGCCACTGGCCCCAACCAGGGCCAATCCTCCCTAGGGGGAGCAGGAAGAATTCTTTTGCCTTTGGGTCTTAGGAACAGAAATGTGGGGGTCTAGGGTTGTCAGTGGCCCCATTTTCTGTCTTTGGGAGCAAACCTGGCTGCTGTTGGTGTATTATACAGAGCAAAGACAAGCAGGGAGAAGGGAGGGAGGCTGAGTCCTTGGGTCCCTGGAGCTGTCATGTCCAGAGCTCTTGCACCGATTCTGTGGACATAGTTGGCAGTTTCTGTCCAGCAGACCTCCCCACCTTTGACAAAGCCAGCATGGGTAGGTCTCCATCACCTGCAATGGCAAGCACCCTGACTAACACCATCCCCATCCTGTCCAAAGCCTAGCACTGTGGAGCGCCCACAGAGGCAGCACAGCACCTGGTGCAGAGGGAATGAACAGATAACAGCCAAGCCTGGGTGAGGCCAGATGGGGATGGGGGCTCAGAAAGTCTGTTCCACCTTCTAGAACCTGCTGACCTACTCACACTTCAGTCCAACCAAGAAACACTTAAGGGGAAACTATGCAACAGAATTCTTCATGGAGATACCTCACTGGGAAAGGATGGGGCATGTGACCCAAGAAAAAGAACTTTGTGGCATTCCTTGGACTCCTCACCTGCCACCACTCAAGCCCTAGGCATTCTCTCCACACCCCCGCTTCCCAGCCAGAAGCCAGGAAGGGAGAGGCAGGTGACAAAGGCAGCTCTTGGGGAGGGCCGAGGCTGCCAAGATGGGGACCTTCACTCAGATGGCCACCCAACTCCCTGCCACCCATGGAAGGGGTGCTTCCCCGGGACCCAGTCCAGGCCTCAAATTCAGAGAATACAAATTTGCACTTCAATGGAAACTGCATATTGTCCACAGATCACCCTTTGGCTTTACCTGAATCTTCTGCTACTGCAGCTACTTTACAATGAAAACATTGTGGATGCAAATTCTGTCTTCTCTTCCACCCTACGAAAAATTTTGTCTCTACACACTGATTTCAAAATTTCAATTTCCTGATCTGGAAAGGTTTCCATTTCTTGGGTTCTCTTTGAGCCAGTTATAACATCTGTCGGGGTTCCTCACTGACCAATGAGTTGAGTAAAATTTTTAACGCATGCTCCTGTTTATGTCTCTAGGACAGTCGTGATTGTACCTTTTCTGAAAATTCTATTTCAGCAATTAAAGGTCTCTGGGACCGTGAAATGGGTACAGTTAACATCCCTGATTCTTCAGTGCCACATTGGGACCCAGAGTCCAGGCTCCCGGCACCTGAGGGCTTCCTAAGGTCCCCCAGTCCCTTCCCTCACCGGCCCTCCTGTCTCCACCTGCGGGCTCCTGGGGCTGACAGGGCTCTCCCACTAATAGACCTGGAGCACAAGTTCGATCCCTGGCCAGCAGGGAGCAACCCACATGGCGCAGCAGACCTCTCCTGTCTCTCCCACTGCTTCCCTCAGCAGTGTGTTTCAGTCAGTCTGCCTGTTCTGTTTCCTGCTCTGTCTCTGGTGAATCCTCTCACCCCCTGCATCTCTGGCCTGTACCCCAGCTCTTGTATGCAAAAATAAATAAATCTTAAAAAAAAAAAAAGAATTAGCATTCAGCTGTGTGGTCTCAGGTTGGGCCAGCAATTTATAGTCTGGTGGGTGGTCAAGTGCACCGGAGAGGTGGGTGTGTTCATATTCAGAGTCATCCCACCCTCCCCTCTCAAACAGCCCCACATGTTGGCCTTTGCCCCTTGAGTCCTTAGCCACATATTACCTAAAAAATAGAAAAATTCATATCCAAACAAAGAGGTGGCAAGGGGCAGACTTTCTGGCACCCCCTCGTCTCCCTAGGGATGGTTTCTACCCCGGCCCTTTCCTTAATGCTGCACTGTTTACAGAAATCTACTGTCTTCCACTTTTCCCATCTCGGCCAATGCTGGCTCCCTGCTTCTCCCATCGAGGATGTTCACTTACGTATTTACCAATCACTTATCAGGAGTTGGGCGCTGTGCTGTTTGCTGCTGGGGTTCAAAAAGGCCTAAGGCCAAGTCCCCATCCTCAAGGAACTCATCTTCAAAGAATTAGACAAAGAAATACTTAATGCACACATACAGAGACTTATAACATAATAGAAATACATTAATTGAGTACTCCCTATTGCCAAATACCTTATATGCATTTAACCTTCATGAAAAACCCACGACCAGATACTACTATGAAAAAAATGAAGGCTCTGGGTGGGAGTTTCAATATTGTAGCATGAACGGATTGTGTGCGTGACCAGCTTAGAACATTTTCTCCGGTGGCCATGCCCGTGTCCAATGCCCGTATCCCCTCCTTTGGGAAGCTCTAGCTCCTTCTCCAACATAACAGTGTAATTGATCCAAAAGGTTAATCATGTCACCCAAAGTTGGACCATTCCAAGTCCTCTTGGGAAATGGCAGAAAAATTTCTTTTGTCTCTGACCATGGAGTTCTGAGGTAGGTGAGATGCAGGTGGTCAGAATCTGTCTTGTAGAGAAATGGGTCACAGAAAATCAGAAAGTCACCAAGAGAAAAGAAACTGGAACAAAGTCTGTGTGAGCCTCTGGTACCAATTACACTCACCACCAGCTCTATCCTCTACTCTCCCACAGCTTGGCCCACGAGTTAATAAATTGCCATGTTTTTCTTAAACTAGTTTGAGTTGATTTTCCGTCATTTGCCACCTACAGAGTCCTAAGAAATGCAGGTCCCTTGCCTGAGCTCACACAACGAATAAGAGGCTGGCTGCCAGCCCCAGCAGCCACCCCACCCAGCCTGTGGCCAGATTGTGGACCCCAGACAGCATGAGCAGCATCATGCTGGTTTATTATCCCACAAAGTTTCCAAGGGGGTTGGCTTGACCAGAGGGTTCACATAGGGTTCTCAACTGCCTACTTCCCAGAAATGTGTTACCACTTACTTCATGGAAGTCATGTCATTATCATCACCAGCCACTCATGAGAGCTTACCCCATGTGAGGTACACGATTCACTGTGCACCCATTTAATGCCCCCCAATCTTGCATGGTAAGCATTGTGAATGCTGCTTTGAAGGAGAGAAAAAGGACAGTTGAGGTTAGTGATCTGCCCCCAAAGTGAAAAGACAGGAAGGAGCAGAAACTGGGCCCCAACGCTCATGTTCTTAGTTAATGTTACTCGTGTTCCTCTCCTTGTGGTATTTTGATTGGCTGCACAGTCAACACAGGCTTGGGGGCTGTTTTGTCAGGCTGAGTGTAGTCAGTCTCTATCCCATCCTGGGCCCAGCAGTCATCTTCGGTCAGCATGCAGCTGCAGCCAGCCAACTTCCTTACAGGGCAAAGCCCCTAACTTTTAGGTCAGTGGAGGGCCTTGTAGGGTCTGGCAACTTTGGTCTTCAAAAGAGGTCCCACTCCAATATTCCAGAGCCTACCATTTGTGTGTGTGTGAGTGTGAGTGTGAGTGCGCGCGCGTATGCGTGTATCCATATATATATATATATATTTTTTTTTTTTTTTTTTTTCTTTCTCAGCTCTTGTGTTCCTGATGGATGTTTATGCCGAGCCTTTAAGCTGGGTCACCTGCAGACTCAGATGTAAAAACCTGCCCTGTTGGCTCCTGTTTTGTGTGGCCATTGCTGGCCACCCCACACTTGACGTCTCCTTCTATCTGGACCCCAAAGCACTCCAGCATGCCAAGCTAGGTCTGAACCCAACATGTCACCCCACCTGACTCCATTGAGACAGTCCTGGGGTCCTGGCTGCCATCCCCAGCATCTGCCATAGTCTGTATAATTTCCTCTGTTAGCACCTAGGCCGGTCCCCACCCTCCCCAGAACCACAGTTGTGGGCATGCTGACAAACAAGCTCTCCTTAAGAGATCAGCAGCACTGGGCCACCTCTGACACGTCTATTCTTTCTTCCTTTCTGGTCTCCTTTATCTCTGCCCTTTAGCCCAGTAGCCCATGGCCCGAGCGGGGCCTTCAGGTGGTTTTTTGCTTCACTGTTTAAAAATTAGGAGTTTCACTTAGCTCTCTGGATTTAAATTGCCCATAGTGAAAGTTGTTTTAAAAAAAAACTCTTGAAAACATCAGCATTTCTGATTTTTCTTGAAAAACTGACTTTTCTGTGATAAGAGCCCTACAGCTATGTGGGAGCCAGCTGAGCAGCGGCCACCCACTTTGGCCAGGATGTGGGCTCTCTGCTTCACCAAGTCTCAATATTTACTCCTACTCTCCATTTCCCTGCCTGCCTGGCACCCACGCCAGGGGCCTGGGATCCCCAAGTAGTTTGCCTACTCCTTGGCCAACCTCCCAGCCTGAGATTAGACACTTCCTCCAGATGATGAGCCACAGGGAAGTCCCTTCAATTCCAAGGCAAGCCAGGCCCCCAAACATGCTTGACCCAGGTTCTGAATGTGCCCAAGCCCACAAACCATTGTCCAAAGGCTCCAACTGGCTATGAGCTGGCACCAATGGCCTATGGGCACCTCAGCACCAGCCTGTAGAGCTGAGATCAGGCCACAACCTGGGCAGACACCAGGCGAGCTCATACCCATTTTACCAAGCAACTGGCCTTTCCCACTTGAACAAGGTAGACTCCCTGAGTCCCCCAGAAAATACCAGGCCTGAGAGAAACCATCGCAAAGCTGGTGGCCATCCCATCTCCTGCCCAGGCCCCACCACCCAGCACTTGGGGATACTCACTATGTTCATGAGGGTGAGGACATAGTTCTGCACGTGCTCCTTGCCATGGAAGCGTACCACCGAGTCGTCCACCACCAGCAGCACCTCGATGCTGTAGCTGCCCGGCTTGGCGTGTCGCCTCTTCCGCTCCGCTTCACCTAGCTGGTCACCCACCAGGCTCAGCAGGTTGGGAAGGTCACCCAGACCAAAGGCTGGAATGAGGAAGGAAGAAACCAAGGTTAGACCGCATGAGGGGGCCATCACCCTGAGGCTGCCAGCAACCCACCTCTGTCCTGGCCACACGTGCCCCTCTTCCTGGTTCTGTAAGCCAATGTAGCTAGAGGGTTTGCTCCATACCAGCTAATGTGTGGGCACCAGCCCTTTTCCTGGCACAAGAGCATAGCTAAGTCCTTGAGGCAGAGAGGAGCAGAGAGCTAAGAACTGGCCCTGAGCTGGAAGCCTGCGTTCTAGTTCCCACTGGGTCCTCTCTCCTTGTGCAGCCTAGGCCAACCCTCTTCACTTCTCTGGGCCTCCATCGCCCACCCCCACAGTTCCATTCCCCCCACCATCCTTTCCCCCCACCCCCTACCGTGACATGAGGTAAACAATCCTTGATCTCTTGCCCCACATATTTGCTGTAAAAATCAAAGGTGGAAACATCTTGATGAAGGAAAGTAATCATAGTGTGACTGCGATCTACCCAGGGCTTTTGAGGAACCCTGGGAACAGTTAAGGGCTTCCAAATTCCACCCAGTCACCACCAGCAACTCAAAAAAATCACTATTCCAGCCCTAGTCTTTGAGCAAAAGGCAAAATACTTATTTTACAAGCATTTTATTATGTAACCTAGGAGTTATCTACCTTTTTCGGTAGAGGACCAGATAGTAAATGTTTCAGATTTTGTGGGTCATAGCCTCTATCTCAGCTATTGAGTTAGGCTGTTGAAACATAAAAATAATCACAGACAATATATAAACAAGTGAGTTGATATATTTTCCAATAAAACTTTATTTGCAATCGCAAACAGTGGGCCATATTTGGGTACTTCAGGAACTGAAATCAGAGGCCAGTGCTGTTGTTTCTTTCTATTTACCTTTTAGGAAGTAGCGCTACAGTGCAAAGGAAAGAATGCACAGGACTGAACAGTGAGGAAAACATGTGGCTGCTGGCTATTGGGGAAAGCAGAAAAGGGCAGCTGACTCCCTGAGTAACACTCTGGCCCCGGAGGCCTGTGCGCCTCTCTCTGTAGGTCACACTGCGCAAGACCTCCTGGTAGTCCTGGCATCTGAGCCCAACAGTGAAGGCAGCAGCCTACTGACAAGTTCCTGGGAAAGAGGCAAAGGCTCTCACCATGGAATGGGGAGAATAACAATCACCTCAAACACACGAACGGTGCCTGGAAGATTAAGTACTGCAAGGGCAATGTGGAACTTGACCTCTTATAGTTCTCCCTGCCAAGTCTGTCAAACAGAGGCCCAGAGAGGTTACCTGACTCACCCCAGGTCACGCAGCAAGTTAATGGCAAAACCCCAGAAAGTTAACTCAGATCTGCTTCTCACCCATTATCACACCCTGTCAGGGCCCACCCAGATTTCTCTCTCAAGAGAAACAGGGGAGGGGAACTGGGGAGGGCCTGCTGAGAGATTCCAACACACCCTTTCCTGTCTCTCTTCCTTCAAGCCATAGATAGGTACCCTCAAAGAGGGGAGGGGCGGAGGCCAGCAGGCTGTTGGGAAGCTTTTCAGGAGCCCACCCAAGAAGCCCCAAGAGAATGCAAAATGATGGAGTTGCTTTGAAAAACAGTTTGGTGGTTCCCCCAAAAGGCAAACATAGAGTAGCTGTGGGACCCAGCAATTCCATTCCAAGGTATATCTACCCAGGAGAATTGAAAACATATGATCACATGACAGCTTGTATACAAAGGTTCATAATAGCCAAAAGGTGGAAACAACTAAATGTCCATCAACAGACAGTGGGTAAAATGTATGCACACATAAAATGGAATATTACCTAGCCATTAAAAGGATATTGCATGCTACAACTTGAAAGATTCTTGAGAACAGCCTAGGTGAAAGAAGTCAGTCACAAAAGGACACATATTGTATGATTCCATTTGTATGAGATGTCCAGAGGAGGCAGGTCCATGGAGAAAGAAGTAGATTAGTGGTTGTCAGGGGTTGAGGAGGGGAAAATTGGGAGGAATAGTGAATTAGTGAGTACAAGGTATTTTATAGGAGTGATAGAAATATTCTGGAATTAGACATCGGTGATGGTTGCACAGTCCATGAATAAGGTAAAAAAAAAATAAGTATACTGAACTGTGTACTTTAAAATGGTTAAAATGGTTGATTTTTTTCTCAATTAAAAAAGAAATCAGCAGGGCATCCCCTGGTGGCGCATCGGTTGAGCGCTGGGCTGCGAGGCTGCCCGCAGCCTCTGCAGTGCTGGTTTGTTCCCTGGCCACCGGCGAGGGGTCCCACAAAAAAAAAAAAAATCAGCAGTAGCCCCAGCCTGGCTGGCTGCCCCTGAAGGGATGAGCCTTGGCCCTGAGCCAAGAAGCCAGAGTTCTGGCCACAGTGGCCTCCCATTGGCATCCAGTTCCCTCCTCAGGCAGGACTTGGAGGGTGAAAGGCTTGCAGAGAGCAGGAGTTGCCAAGGCAAAGCCTCAAAGGCCAATGCAGGTCCCACGGCAAGTGTCTGTGGGGCTAGAGCGAGGGCCAGCTCACCTGGAGGTCTGGTGAAGGGAATTCCTACCTCTGGGCTGAGAAGGTTCTAGATTTCTCACAGGGTCCCTGAGCAAAGAATTTTTTAACTCTTTTTTGGAGCCCATCAAAGTTGGTATGAGTGTTTATAAGTGTGAGTATAAGTGTGTTCTTCTCTGTGTGTATGAGTATATGTGAGGTGTGATTGTGTGTGAGTGTGTGAGTGGGTATTAATGTGTGGATGTGGTGTGTTTGTGTATGTGGGTGGGTATGAATATGTGTGTGAGGTATAATTGTGTGCATGTGTGAGTGTGTATGAGTGTATGTGTGAGGTGTAACTGTGTGTGCGAGGTGTAATTGTGTGTGGGTGTGGAGGGATTTGTGTATGCATGTGGGCCTATGTTGTATGTGAGAGGGTGAATATGAGCCGGTGTTTGTGAGCATGTGGGGGTGCACAAGTGCTCCTTTTAGGAAGCAGCATCCAAGCCATCCCCTGAGTGGAAGGGGAAGTGTCCTCATCAGCCCAAGTTCATTGATGCACATCAGACACCTGTGCAGCAGATCCCAGGTGGCAGGAAGATGCCACACTCAGGCAGGAAATCAGTCCAGTGGACTGTCTGATGCCACCTTGTGGAAAGCCACACACTCCTTTTGGGGCAGCTGACCTCACAAAGAGACACAGAGATCCTTAAGGCATGGATCTGTGATCCGGGAGCCACCAGCCTGTTTGGGAAGAAGTCAGGACACTGAGGGAGGGGACATCTAAGTTGGCTGATACTTGGACAGGATGGGGATGGGTAGAGATGGGGAAGGAGCTCAGGCTGAGCGAAGTTCTCTAAATATCCATTTACTAGCAGCTGACCCAGGCCTCTGAGACACTTCTCTACATGCTGAGAAGTGAGCCCAAAGACTATGGGAAAACTTTTTTCTTAATCAAGGAAGTTAAGTAGAGACAAGTGCACTCAGAAATCCTTCACACACTAGGCTCAGACGCACTATGCTGCAGTCTTCCAAGAAAGTCCTCTGTTGCCACTCTTCTCTCTAAGGAAGGACAGAGGGGTTCCAGGACAGGGCGTCACCCATAGGAGTTAGCAGGTGGTGATGAGGGGGAGTCTCACCAACACTCCCCAGGGCCTGAGTTCCAGCTCCACAAGCTCAGCGGGCTCAGCCTCCCAGCCAACGGCTTTGGTGGCAGGTGACGTAATTGGCTCGAAGCTCAGAGCAGTGGAGTGAGACTTCCCAAACTTTCTCCTAAAAAGGGAGAATTTATGGTCTTTTGATGCAAAACTGGCCTCAAATAAGTGGAACTCAAAGAGACTTGTTTTTCCTAGCCACGGTGGAGGGAACAGTGCCTGCCCCAACCTGCTTCTGAAATCCACCAGGGCGTTCGGAGGCTCTGTCCAGTCCTCTGGCTTCACCCCCACCGCCAAGGCCTGCAAAGCCCACGGCTTAGCTCATGGTGCTGTGAATTCCCTTATGAGCCACACTGGGAGAGCATCTGGGGCTTCAAAGGAGGCATTGTCTGGGGACAACAGTTTCCAGGCATTCTTTCATGCTTTGCTCAACCCCGCCAGGGCCTGGGTACAAGGGTGTGATCTGCTCATGGCCAGGGTCCAGCCATTGCCTTCTCATGTCCTATTAACTAAAGAGGCTTCGTGACAAAGTTATGTTGGACTCAGAAGCTGGCATGGGTGCAGGACCAGCACACATCACACCCACAACTTCATTCACTCAACCAGGGTCCTGAATTTTACAGGGGTGCAGGCTTCTGTGCTCATCACACAGGTGCAGGGAAGCCCCTGCTTTCAGGGGCTGACACCCTAATAAGTCTTAGTTACCCTAATAACAAAGCTGTATTAAGAGCAGCTATTGATCAGGCACAGGTGCCGAGCGCCAAGCTGGGATTTTTATATGCACTATCAAACATAGTGCGCATTTATATTTATATACACTATCACTAATACCCATGACCTCGGAAGACAATAATCAGCCCCACTTTAAGATTTGAAAATAAGACTCAGAAATGTCAAGTAATTTGCCTCCTCTTGGAGACAGGATTTTTAAAGTGGCGTTGGGCATAAGCTGACCGCAGTGCGGTGAATACCATGAGAACTTCCTGCCTGTGGCTCCTCGGGGGTTGAGTGGTTTTTAGGGAAAGAGTTAACTGCAATTATTCTACCTTCGCCCTTGGTTCAGAAATAGTCTGGCAAAGCAATGCTGAGTCCCTCAGCGATCGCTGGACCATAGTTCAGAGGGCTGGCCCCAACTCTAGCCAGTTAGAGTAGCCCCAAAACCTGCAGGGTTTCTCCAATGGCCTGAAGAGCTACACGACCCAATCCCATTTTACCATGAGAAGACTGAGGCCAGGTATTGAGAGGTTAAGGTCAGAAGTTACCTAAAAGCACCCCCAGGTGCGGACAGAGGTAGAACTTGGAGCCCCGCCACAGCCTACCTTCATTGTGAAGGTCCCCACGAGGCTCTGCCCACTCCTGCTGGACGACTTCCCGGCGATACACCACGTGCGTCCTCCCGCTGGCCTCCTTGTCCTGCTGCCCCCGCTCTAGGGGCTCAATGAAGTAGTCGGTGCTGTCTGTGCGGATGAGGCCCGCCTGGACCAGGACGCAGCGAGCAGGAGGAGAGAGGACGAGGGAGAAGAGGCATGAACACACGGTGTGGAAGGTGAACAGACGTCTGTGCATGCAAGCACGTGTGACCACACCCACCTGCAGGCTCTGCTTCCAGGGCCGGAAGCCCCGCAGAGATGTGGGAGGGAACGTTAGGAAGGCTGAGCAAGGGTGTGCATGCCCATCTCAAATAAAACGATCCACTTTTACCATGTTGTGCTCCCATGGGATTCCATGTAACATTTCATTAAACGAAAGATCCGTGCTTGAAAGGGGGACAAAGTGGGCGCAAAGTTGCTACCACAAAGAATAAGCGCACACACCAGGGCTCTGCTTTCTGCTCCACGAGAGGGAAAAAGGCTATCCGTGTAGGATAATTATCCTAAGATGGGTGCTGGTCCCCCACTCCAGCACAAAGGGCTATTATTTCAGATTTAAAGCACAGTGTGCGCAGGCCATGGAGAGCAGCTAATGTCCACTGACAATAAAGGAACCAGGATGGGGCCCCAGGAGTGCATGCTCTCATCTTAATCTAATTTTTTGCCTCAAAATATTCCCTTAAAATAAATCAGGCATTGGTCTTGAAAATGAAAATATAAAACTACAACCTGGCAACTCCCAGCAAACATGTTATTAGCAATAATCACAGGGGCCAAGGAAACACACAGCTAGGTGTGCGTGAATCTATGTGGAGCCACACATGCTCCTACCCCATGTCAACTCCATAAAGTCCTAAGACCAGCCTAGCTGCCCTGTGCCTGGAAAATAGTAGGTGATACTTAATAAACATATCTGCTGTATCCCTTCACTCATTCAACAATTATCTATTGAGGGCCTACTGCATAACAGGCACTGAAAACGCAGCTGCAAATACAAAGCAGTGAAAGAAAGACATTTTTATAAATCTACTGGACTTTCTCTGTTGGAATATGAGCTGCCTCTTTCCAGCAGTTGCTTTATGCAACTCAATTCCACCTCTGTTGCCACCTCAACCTTTTTTGTGATTGCTTCTTAGGGACTGAGGACACACGCAAGTCCTGGCACCGGCTCATCTTCCTTATGTCTGTCCCTGCTACCTCTGATGATCAAACACCATTTTGGAACAAAACCATGAGAGACTTCCTTCCATGCCTGCGCAGACCCAATCAAGAGGTCAAGCACTGTCCTAGGGAAAAACAGCAGCGTCGCTGGAATAAGTTTGGGCTTTCCCAAGGTGGCCCTTTTATCAGGTGATAGTGAATTGTCTGTGAAAGTTCTGGCCTTCTTATTAAAATGTCCATGTCAAACCTTCTTCAGCACACACTCATTCAGCCAAAGCACTTCCACTCTTTTACTTTTGCATCTGCTGCGTGCCCAGGGCAGGGAGAATCAGATAAATAAGGCCCAGTGTTTGGCTGAGTTGCTCATCCCTTGGAAAGGGGGGTGGGGTGCACAGAGAGCAAAGGGGCCAGATATGCTTGGAGCTATGGTGGGCACACCTGATGCACAGGGGTCCATCAGCCTCTCTGTTGCAAGATGCAGAAATTCAACTTGAACCCACTTGGCCGAAAGGGGAGTGCACTGGCCCCATGACAAACCATGGCCGAGACAGATGCTGACCTGAGGGACCCAATGCCCTCAGCTCCCTCCTTGCCTAGCCCCTGGACAACCTCTGCCTCAGTTTCATTCTCATCACCCTGTTCCTATAGGCACACTGCCACCCTGCCTCAAGGGACCAAGGGAAACTTTGTTTCATCTGCAGGAGCCCAAGGCAGGGTTGCACTTGGTCTGGTTGAGTCTCTTGGTCACTCTGGAACCTGCAGTCCCTGCCAGGGCCTGTGGCCAGAGGAAGGGTGCTAAATGCATGGGAAGAAAGGAGAAACTCTTAGGATGCTAAGGAGACCCATTTGAGATGTTAAGGGCCCACCAGGTAGGGTGTAGGCAGGGGTGTGGAATCATGGTGGGAGGGCAGTGTGGGTCTGAGGAGGCATTCAGACTCATGGTCACAGCTGGAATCAACAACTGATGCTAAAACAAAGGACCCTTATCACTGTAGTCCTGAAGAATCCCCTGAAGGACACAAGGGACCAGAGGGCCAGATGCCAGTTTCTGGGCCCAGGGAATTCTCCCAAAATCACTGAAACCCTGAGGTCAAAAGAATTTATGAACAATTTCTCAGCCAAACCCCATGCCCCGCACAGCCCACTCTATCTTATCCCACCCCACCCCACCCTATTGCATCCCATCCCTCTTTCTGCAAAGCTATCTGATACCTGGGGGGAATATTCCTGCCCTATTCAAGCCCCCATGAACTAAGCAAGGCAGGAGGCCCACACAGCACAAGTCAGAAGGTCTGTACCTTATGCAGGTCAAACCCAAACTCGCAGAGAGTAGTAGCTTGCATTACCTCTGCCCATCACAGCTCTGGAAGCAGTCTGGCAGGGAGAATTTTCCAGAATGGGAGGCAGAAGACTTCACTCAGCCACCCCCACACCAAGACACCCCACCAAGCTCTCCCTCTTCCGGGCCTTGGTTAACCAACTGCATATAGAATACTGCAAAATCTGGCATTCCCTGCTTCACTATCCAAGGGCAAGCCAACCCCTCCTCCCAAGATCACTTTGCCCACTCCAGTCTGAGACTTCAGTACCTCCACAACATCCCCAGTTATGGGATCTCTTGCTTTTGCTTGGTTACCCCTAGTGACAGAGAGCTCCCTCCCTGAAGATATAACCTATTCTGTTTAGGGACACTCAGTGCTTCACAGAGCAAAACACACTCCCTTACATTCTACCCTTTATAAACAGTCTCAGCATCCCCTATATCAATAACACTATCTTCCATTTATATTTTCATAACTTATTTCTTTTCACAACAACTCTACAAGGTAGGCACAAAAATTAGATCCATTTCATGGGAGGGGAAAGAGACTCAGAATGGTTAAGTAACTTACCCAAAGTCACCCAGCAAGGGACAGCACTAGAACAAGAGTCCAGTTTTGTGTAGCTCATAACCGTTACGCTGTATTATCTCAGGTCCTGCTTGTGCCTTGGCGGTCACTTCAAGCAAGGAAACTGTCCTTTCATAGTCCCATCGACAAACTCCCGGCCTCTGGGCTGGCCTGACTGGTCTATGGAAGTCAGTCCACTTCCCACCATGGAGATGAGAACAGAGGAGACTCTTCTGCCCCAAAAGAAGCAGACCCCTCTCTCCCCACAGGTGCCCTCCAAGCAATCTGAAAGAATTCTTGCCCCACACACATCCTCGGATACCCTCAGCTTTCCTCTGAAGATCCTAGGTCTGCTCCAGCCCCCATGCCCACCCACAGGTCTTTCCCCAGGGGAGAGTCACAGAAGCCTCTTTCCCACCTAGCTAGTTGTTTAAGGCTAATAGCAAGCGCCGTAATATGCAATCTGAGAAATAACTCTCAAACCTCTCTGGAGCTATGGGTCTCTTCAACCCCCAGGGGTCAAGGACAGATCCTCCCCAGTGACCTTCCTCGTCCCTTTCATGCATCATGTCCTGGTCTTGACAGGCAGTTCTTGTCAGGCCTGTGTGCCCCCAGCCTCTGAGACCTCCCTCCTGAGCAAGACCTGGGAAGCGAGGCTCAGCGACCAGATCAGGAGGCCTGCTGGGACAGCCCCTCCCCCAGGCCCTCCGTTTTCCTGTCTGCACCAGGATCAATTTGGCCCTGCTCCCCACCAGCTCTGCCCTGGCCAGGAAACCAGGCACCACACAGGGCAGACAGGCTGGCAACGGGAACTTTCTGGCTCTGCGCCTTCTCACCAAATTACTCCCGTCTCTCAATTTATGAGATGTTTATATTTCTGAAAAGTGGTGGTTAATTTTCAAGCACTAAAATCGAATCAAATTTCTATATGAAAAGTCAAGAAAAGGGGGAAAATAAGTTGTTGGAGAATAAATGTCAGCCATATCTGTTCTTACCTATACCTTCTTCTTTGGGAAACAGGAAAATCCATACTAAGAAGGTTCTTCATGCAATAAAAACAACAAACAGCTGCTAACACCCAGCAGAGTCACATGTTCTATGGGCGCTCAGGTAATTTCTCAGAATGTAGACTGCCCCCCAGCAGGTCTGCCACCCTTGGGTATATTCTAGGCCCTTTGATCAACTGCTTCTGAGGTGCCTTTCCTGGGAGACATGTGGATGATGGGCGTGAGGGGGGAACTTGTTTGAATTTTCCAAAATGGCTGTGACATCATTTTGGTTGTGAAGTTGATGCTTTCTGCTGTGTCTTCATCCAGAGGCTTTCAGGCCATGCTGACTGAGGTGATCCAGTCCTGCTTGCACTCAGGGGAAGCCCCCAAGTCCAGGCTGCAACTCCAGGGTACATGGAGAAGGCAAGTTCATGTGGTGACTGGGGAGGGGGTGCTGGCCTAGAAATCACCTTGTGTCCTGCAATGGGTCATAACTGAGTAAATTCAGGTGGCCGTTTTATCAGCACCCCGTGTATCATCAGGGCAAGATATTTCAGCAGATAACGAAAGCCACCTGATTTTAAATGTATATGTATACATTTGTGCATGCGTACATAGAAACATGTATATGTGCATGTGTATACAGAAACATGTTCATTCTACCATTGCATGTACTTGCATGTAAATTTGGAGGCAAGGGTACGATAAGTCCACAAAGAGATCTCCAGGGAGGCCCCAGGAAGAGATCCTGGGGGCCCGTGAGCTCGAATGGGGCAGAAGTCCATGCGTAGACAAAGGCGGTGCTCCATCTGTGCTGAGCCAGGAGCACAGACTGAGCAAGGGCCTGGTCACGGGTCTGGGCAGGGGCCAGTGGCTTGGTCCTGACAGGACATCAGCAGACCCTTTGGGAATGGGGGAATTCTAAGACCCCTGCCTGTGCCCTCAGATTTGCCAACCTCTCTGGAATGCCCAGAGGCGGGACCCATTTCACAATGGCAGCTCCAGCAGAGCTAGCTGAGGGGCAGGCCAGGTCTCCTCTTTCTTTTCCTTCCAAGGCAGCCTGTATG